TTATTTTTTAGTTATAGGTGGACACAATACCTTTATTTTATTTTTATGTGGTGCTGAGGCTCGAATTTAGTGCCTCACACATGCTAGGCGAGTGCCACAACCCCATGCCTATGGGTTGTCTTTTTTAATGATGTCTTTTGAAGTGCAAAGGTTTAAATTTTGATAAATCCAACTGATCTACTTTTTCTCCTGATGCTTATGCTTATGGTATCATATCTAAGATATATCCCCCACATCTATAGTCATGATTATTAACCTCTACATTTTCTTCTAAGAGTCTTATAGTATTAGCTCTTACATTTAGGCCTTGATTTTTTTTTTTTTTTTTTTTTTTTTTGGTACCAGGAATTGAACTCAGAGGTGCTCAACCACTGAGACTCATCTCCAGTCCTTTTTAATTTTTATTTTGAGGCAGGGTCTTGGTAAATTGCATAGGGCCTTGCTAAATTCCTGAGGCTGGCTATGAACTCATCATCCTCCTGCCTCAGCCACCCAAGTTACTGGGATTATAGGAGGGAGCCACCACACTCAGCTCCTTGATTCATTTTGACTTAATTTTTACAATGTGGTATGAGGTAAGTGTTCAACCTCATTCATTTGCATATGGTTATCTATTGATCCTAACACCATTGCCTGATTTCACCCCTTCTTGTTTTTTTTTTTTTCCACATTTTTTTATTGGTGCATTATAGTTGTACATAATGGTGGGATTTGTGGTTACACATTTGTACGTGCACTCCATTGTCATATATATGGACTGCAAAATGTCATTATGTAGCACATAATTGTATTTAAAAGCTGGGTGGGGGAAAGAGATTGGAACAAAATGGCCAATGATGTAGGAGGAATACTGGGAAACGGGTCACAGAAGCCACGAATGGAAAGCTCTCAAAAGAAGGGCTGCCACCACCTACTAGGTGCTGCTAAGAGCATTCTTCTCCTGGTTATCTTCTACTTATGTTGTGTTATTCAGTATTTGGTAGGGACTCCTCTCTGACGCCCAAGTGCTCTAAAAATATCCACTCCTGTGTGTCCCTGTAGCTTCTTGCATTTGCCATCACCGCCTTCCTTATAACAATTTGTAATTGCTTAGGTTCTACATCTGTCTCCCTCTCTGTTCTTCACCACAAAGTTGCAATCTCTGGGAGGAAAGGATGTTGCCTGACTTATTTGCATCCCCAGTGTTGAGAAGAGTACCTGGTTCACAGCAGACTCTTAAATTCGATTTTGTAAGATCATGAGTCGATCGCTGCAGGAAACAGGATCTCAAAAAGAAAACAGTTGCGCAAATAGGGTAAAACAGGATGTGTCAGTGCCTGCTGTCAAAGGTCTGCTAAAGAGAGTCTTTAGCAGGAGAGGTGGTGGTACAAAGGAGCGAAGAGAGTGAATTTCAAGACTCTCAGTTCCCGAAGGGTAAGGACTCTGTGGTGATGCTCTTTGCTTAACCGGTAAATTTCCCGAGGTCGGGGATCTTACTACGGTGTCTGGCACTCCATGGGTGCTCAATAAACTAATGAAAAAAAAAAAAAAATCTCTGCATCCCCAGCGCCTATCTTAATGCCTAGCACCTAGAAAGTGCTTAAGGAAAGGGCAGCAGATGAAAGGGTAGCTGGGCTTCAGTAGACACCGTAGGAGGACGACCGAATCGCAGTAGAAGCTCGTTCACGTAAAGGGAGGTAGTGGGTTTCCAGACCTGTCGCATCGCCACCTTTTCTGCCCTCCCCTGGCATGCGTCCCTCCACCTGTCCACCACGCGTGCCCGGTCCGCGTGGCTATCGCAGGAGAATGTAACACGCCAGCCCCGGATGCCTCGAAACGAGTCACTCCTTCCCGGCCTCAGGTCCACCCCCACCTGCTTACCAGCCGCCCAGCACCGCGGCTCCAGTTCCTCAGTACTCGCACTGCAGCCATCTTAGTCCGGAAATGCCCCCAGCACCGCCTGGGATAGACGCCTCGGCCGGCGACCTATCCCGAGGTGGGAGACGCGCCTTCCCGGAACAGCCAATCCCGAGCGGAGGAGCCAGCCGGTCGCCCCGCAGCCAACCCGAGAGAGGGGTGGGGCCGAGCCCGACCCGGCTGGGTGCCTAGAGCCTGCCCCCGGGAACTAGGGAGGAAGGCGGTGCAAATTTAATTCCGGAGGCAGAGTCTGGCAAGGTACTGTGTGTAAGTACAAGTGCACCAGTTCATACTGTCCTGGGGGAAACGGTGGTGAGGGCACACGAAGAAGGGCAGTCACAAGGGGAAAGTCAAAGACCCGAGGGATGAGCAGGAAAGTACGATCCTTGGTGGTGAATTTAACTCTCATGATTACAGAAAAAGGGAACATTTCTATACTTAGTAGCAAGACTCTGTACCACGACTTTCTTCACAAGTCCCTACTGGAACACTTTCCAATGCCTTGTTGCTGCTGTTGTTAATTTTTGAGACGGTCTTGCTAAATTGAGGAGACTGACCTCAAACTTGCTATTTTCCTGCCCCAGCCTCCCAAGTCAAGTTGCTGGGATTACAGGCCTGCACTACTGCTCCTGGGACTGACTAGTGATTCCTACTTTCATTGAGTGTTCTTGATTACTGAAATTCTGAAACTGGCTTCTCAGGGTCTTTTGTTTCCTCATAAAAGTTGAGCAAGTTTACTCAACCTCTAAAATAAACATGTCATCGTCATTATAGTTCCTTCTTACAAAATGTTGTTAGATACAACAGCCCAGCATAGGCAGTGTATGTCACCCACATATAATCTTGACTTATTTGCCTCTTGAAAAAATGCCAAATTCAGGTCAAGTGGAAATGGTAAAGAAAAGATAAGAGTTTTCTTCAATAAGCATCACCCTCAGATTTACTAGGAAAACAACTTCTAAAAATGTCCAGGATGACATTTGTACTTGCCTCTTACATGAAAATTAAAATCCACACAAATGTCTAAGGAACTATAGAGGAAAAATGCAAATCAAAGACAACATTGTAAATCCTCAACACTGAAGGTTAGTGGTAATGGTACAAAATTCTAGGCATTTCACAATATTTAATATTAATTTTAATATTTTTTAATATAACCCTGTTTAATATTACCCTGAGGGTAATATTAATATTACACTGGGGGTGGGGGTCATTGCCTTTCAGTGTATTTTACACACACATACAGCTACTGTAACAAGAAATATAAATAATTACCTTTCTCAGAAAATCTTTGATAGTCAAAAAACTTATATTTTTTTAAAACTTTCCCATTTGCATTTTTTGGGGATACTGGGAATTGAACCCCGGGTGCTCTATCACTGAGCTATGTCCCAATTCTTTCTATTTAAAAAAAAAATTTGCTGATACTGGCCTCCAACTTGTGATCCTCCTGCCTCAGCCTCCATAGATTACATGCATGCACGACCAAACTCAGACCATCGAAAATTTTATAGGCATTTTTAATATATTTAATAATCCCACATATATGAGTTTGCATAAAAAGTAGAAGTTATACCTTTGAAGTAAATGATTTTTCTTCCCAGGGTCACTATACAATGTTCTTCCTCTTAACTTTCCCTTTAACTGTTCCTTCTCAGAAAATAACTAATTTACTTCTTCCTTTTATCATCTTTTACCTCCATGGACTACTGCTTTCATAGTATATGTGTTCTTACCTTTCCAGCATCAAGAGATATTCTACTTATTGACTAGTTAATCCTGTCACTTGAGTTCAAAAGAATTTAAGACCCCATTCTTATTTTGGGTTAAAACAAAGTCAATTATGACCCACCAATTCCATTCCTATATATCTAACTAAGAGAAATTAAAATGTGTCCACAGACTTGTAAAAAAATCATAATAACATAATAGCCAAAAACTAGAAATGACACAAATGTCCATCAGTAGGAGAGTGAATAAACAAAATGTGGTATGCCATATAAAGGAATATTATTAATCCTTAATGACTGAAGTATGGATATATGCTGTAACATGGCTGAACCACAAAAATATTACCCTAAGTAAAAGAATCCAGACACTAAAGTCACATATGTATTATATGATTCTAATTAAAATGAAATGTTCAGTAGCTCAGTGATAGAGTGCTTGCCTAGCACAGGTGAGGCACTGTGTTCGATCCTTGGCACCACATAAAAAATAAAGGTTAAATTCTTAAAAAAAAAAAAGAATTGCCAAGATGTCTTCCAAAGTGGCTCCATATTTCCACAAGCAATTAATTAAAATGAAACATTCAAAGAAGATTAATTTACAGAGACAGAACACAGATCAGTTTTATTATATTAACTAATCTTATTGTATTAGATAATTGGTTCACCTGGGGATGGGAATGGGAATGAGTAGTGACTACAAAGAGGCAAGAGAGTTTTGGGGTTTTTTTATTTGATTTTGGTTTTGGTGGTGGAAATTTCCTATTATCAGATTGTGGCAACAGTTGCATAACTATAAATCTACTAAAAATTAATTGCACACTTAAACAGATGAATTTTAGTATATTAAGCATATCTTAATAAAGCTATCATGTTTGATTAGATGCAAACAAAAGAATACTATAATGTATAGATAAGTCACATGTAATAATATAACAGAAATCCTTCAACCCACTATTCAGTTTAAGAAATAGAACCTTTCTCATGCAGGTGAAGATCACTGTTTGGATTCTTTCCTGACTCCTCTCTCCCTATCCTCCTAACCCTTTTCCTGAACTGTGCTTATCATCCCATTGTTCTCTTTAGAATTTACCACATACACATACATGGATCCCTAATAATGTATTGTTTACTTTCGCTTGTTTTCAAGTCTCATAAATATGGAATCAGACTGCATGTACTTTTCTACAACCAGTTTTGATGACAATACCATATTTATCCACTTTCCAATCTGTGCAAATTTCTGTTGTTCCCCATTTTTCTCCTACATATCCGTGTTTCTATGAACATTATTATTTATCCCATGCATGTTCAAAAGTTTCTCTAGGACAGTGCACCTCAGACTTCAATGAACATTTATATCAATTGAAGACCTTGTTAAAGTACACATTCTAATTCAATAGAATATTTTGATTAGGGCCTGAGAGTCTGCATCTCTAATAAGCTTCAGGTATACAAATGCTCTTGGTTAATCAACAACACTTTGATTATTAAGACCAAAATCTTGGGGCTGGGGATGTGGCTCAAGTGGTAGTGCGCTCACCTGGCATGTGTGCGGCCCAGGTTAGATCCTCAGCACCACATACAAAGATGTTGTGTCTGCCGAAAACTAAAAATAAATAAATAAATATTAAAAAAAGACCAAAATCTAAAACAAAGTTATGCTTATCTTCAACTTTACCCTAGATAACACTAGGTTGTTTTGCAAGGTGATTATATAAAACATGTCTAGTAGCTGTGTAAGGGAGAATCCATTGTTCCTCCTTTGGTATTGTCAGACCTAGATTTAAACATTTCCCCCAGTTTAGTAATTACAAGATGATATAATGGTATTAATTTGAATTTCTCTAATTAATAATAAGGCTGAGAATGTTTTAATGTTTATTAACAATTTTTAAAATGCCTATTCGTAATTTTAGCCCATTTTCCTTGTATTGTGTATGCATTTTTTCTTCTTGTTTTCTTGTTGATTTTTCTTCTTCATTCAGGTAGGAGCACTATAAATTGTGCTGCAACTGCTGTAAAACTGAGACTTCATGCTATTTTTTGATTTGAGGTTTTCCAGCACTTATGCACAATAAACTTAAAATTCTAACTTGATCTGATTTTATTTTTGACAACATTGTAGGCATTCTGATCTTAATGATTTTGAAAGGAAGGTGCCTAATGTTTACTGTTAAAGCCCTCCCTGGATTCAATCCCCAACACCAAACCAAATAAACAAAATTTTCTATTAACATTTCTTATTTTATCCATAATGATTTAGATGTTTATAAATCTCCAAACATATGTGTCTTTTGGTTGTTGTTTTAATTCTTATTTATATATTTTTATTATTTATTTATTTGTGTAGTGCTGGGGATCATACCCAGGGCTTCACACAACTAGACAAGTGCTCTACCACCCAGTATACCCCAGTCTTTCAATTGTCTTTTTAAAAATTGATTTCTAATGTAATTGCCATTTTTGTATGGAATATGAGTGTAAACCTAATTTCTTTGGATTTGTTGAAATCTTTATGGCTTCATCTTCTTTTATATGTGTCATGAGGGCTTTTTTTTTTTTTTTGTACTGAGAATTGACTCAGGAGCACTTAACCACTGAGCCACATCCCCAGCCCTTTTTTACATTTTAGAGACAGGGTCTCAGTGAGTTGCTGAAGCTGGCTTTGAAATCACCATTCTCCTGCCTCAGCCTCCTAAGCCGCTAGGATTACAGGTATTTTAGTCAGCATTTTTGATGCTGTAACCAAAAGACCCGGCAAGAACAATTGTAGAGGAAGAAAAATTTATTTGAGGGCTCACATTTTCAGAGTTCTCAGTGCACAGATAGCCAGCTCCATTCCTCAGGGTACAAGTTGAAGCTGAACATCATGGCAGAAGAATGTAGCAGAGGGAAGCAGCTCACATGATGATCAGAAAGAAGAGAGAGAGAGAGAGAGGGTGGGAGGGAGGCAGAGGGAAAGAGATCTCCACTTGCCAGATACAAATTTAAACCCTAAAGCCATCCCCAGTGCCCAACCTCCTTTAGCCACACCCCACCTTCCTTCAGTTACCACTCAATTAATCTTATCAGGTGATTAATTCACTGATTGGGTTAAGGCTTTCATAAAGTAATCATTTTTTCTCTGAACCTCCTAGCATTTTCACACGTGAGCTTTGGGGGGACACCTCACATTCAAACTATAACAACAGGCATGAGCCACTGTGCCTGGCTGTGTGTCCTGAGTTCTTAAGAAAATCATGTAGTTTATATCTGATTGAAGTTATATATATATATATAAATATTATATATGTGTGTGTGTGTAGAATCATTTCTTTCCTAAATTCCCATTTGCTTAATCTACCAATAATTGAGATACAATTGCAAAACATGTTAGTAGATTTACCAGTTTTTCTTGTGCTATATCACTGGGATTACAGGTGTGTACTGGCTAATGTTTACTTAGGTTTACCTACATAATTACAGTTTCTTAGCTCATCATTTTTTCTTATAAATCAGACTTCCCTTTTGAAATAATTACCATTCTGAAGTGCAAATATCCTTTAAAAATTCCTTTAGACAGTCTATGTAGATGTTAAATTCAATTTCTAGGTATCTAGAAATTATCTTATTTCTATACTTTACCCACATTTTTGAGAGATAATTTTGCTAGGTACCAATTCCAGGTTGAAAATGACTGTCATGATTCTGAAGATATGAATCCACTGTCCTTTGACAGTGTTCTGTTGAGAAATCTGGTATCAGCTTAACTGTCCTTTTCCTGTAGATAATTTAAAAGATACAGAATTTAATGCAACTTTGCCACTTATCTGTTACATCATCTTATAACGACAAAACACTAACTCTACAGTTTTGTTGTAAACGTGAATATAGCGCTATACAAATGATTATTATTATCTACTCTCGACTGACGTATTAGTCAACTTGATGTCACTGTGATGAAATACCTGAGAAAAACAACATGAAGAAGGAAAGATTTATTTTGGATCCCAGTTTCATAGGTTTTATTTCATACTTGCTGGGCCACATGGCTGTGGGCTCATGATGAGGCAGAACATCATGGCGGGTAGAGTGTGACAGGCAAAGCTGCTCATTTCATGGTGGCTAGGAAGGAGCAAGAGAGAAAGGAAGGATCTAGGGACAAAATAAACTCTTCAGTCTTGTCCCCAGTTATCTACAAAATCACCAGCTGGGGACCACGTCTTTAGCACATGGCCTTTCGGGTACATTTCATATCCAAACCGTAATACCTGGGTAGTTTCTATGTCATATACCATCTTTTGTTCACTTCCCTCTACACTGAAAGTAACTGTAATGGGGCAAATGGGTCAGATCCAGGAGTGAGAATTAGAAATTAAAAGGACAAGCCAGAGCCATGCATGGGGGCACATACCTGTAATCCAGTTACTTGGGAAACTGAGGCAGTAGCATTGCAAGCTTAAGTCTGGGTGACTTCGTGAGACCCTGTCTCAAAATTTAAAGAAAGGACTGGGGATGCAGCTCAGTGGTAGAGCATTTGCTTAGCATGCACGAGTCCCTGGGTTCAACCCTCAATACTGTAAACAAGCCAGGGCGCAAAGTACAGCTCAATAGCAGAGGGTATGCCTAGGATTTGCAAAATCCTCTTGATTTGATCTCCACACTGCAATCAGTCAATAAAACAATCAAAGCAAGGGCAAACCTTCTTCTGAGGAGGTTGAGTTTCTCTTATAGGAATCTAAGATGTCAGATAGTACTAGATATGGTAGTGCATGCCCTTAATCCTAGTAACTAGGGAGGCTGAGGCAGGAGGATTGTGACTACAAGGCCAGCCTAAGAAATTTATTGAGAATCTGTCTCAAAAAGGGGAGGAGGGCTGGGGATGTAGCTCAGGGGGTTCATAATCCAGTGTGTGTGTGTGTGTGTGTGTGTGTGTATATATATGTATATATTATATTGTATTATATTATAGTTACAAGCATAGCTTTTTTATTGTATCCCTGCTGCCACTGCCTTACTTCAACTTTTCATTCTCTCTTGCCTTAGGCAAGAGAGAAGGCATTTCTGCTTTCAGGTCCTTAGGCCCCTAATTAATCCTCTGAATACTATCAAACCTATCATTCTAAATGCAGATATTATTACTTTCCCTGATTACTATTTTAACATAGACTTGATTAACACAGGATGCTATAAAACAGTAAGAACTTTATCAAACTGTGAAAGAATGGGATGAACAGTGCAATGCTCAATGAACACTGGCTGTTATAGTTTATCATATTGTAATTACTGTCTCCATGTACATTGATGATGATGATGATGATGTTGAACCCAAGACCTCATAGGCAAGTGCTCTACCATTGAGATGCATCCTCAGCCCTTAATTATTATTTTTATAGATGGCATTGTAGTTGATTACTTCTCAGTCTGTCCATTATATCTCCAATAGCTTTGGGGGCATTAACTGTTCTACCTCTTCTTTGCACACCTACAGGCTTACATATTATTCAGTCCTAAATTAATGTGGGAATTGAGCTACAGCAGAACCAAGAAGCTGACTGTTGTTTCTGCTGTAGCCTACGTTGTATTATGTTTCTCTGCACTGTTCATTGAAGGCAAGAGCTTTCACCTACTCTCAGACAAGGTGGCATAGCTTTGACCTTCAGAGTGTTACATTAGTGGTTCTACCCCTTTCTCCCCACAAATACATAGTGTCTCATGGGGAGCGGGGGACAAGATAGTACTGTACACACACCCCACAAGAAATGAGAAACTCATTGGTTTCAATTAGTGCACCAGGGCACACAAACTTAGAGAGGTTGCAGAGAAGGCAAATCCGTCCAGAGAGAAGGTGATTAGTACAGTGTAGGGTTCTGATTTTTCTTAATCTTCAGCTCTAAGAATCTGCAGCACTGGGTATGCCAAGATCCTCAACAGATTAACACATATTTATCAAGAAAATAGATGAAGCACAAGCCTGCGGAACAACTGGAGGATTTGGTTAAGAGTGGGAAAGGAGATTTTCCACAACCTTCAGGTTCTACTGTTTAGGACACAAGTCTTCCCAAGTCCACACTTAACTACAGCACTCTTAGGTACCCGGCAGCGGCCCACCACCTCCCGGACAGCTAAGGGTCCTGGCGGGGAAGGAATATTCCCGGAGCCGCCTCCCGAAGCGTCGAGGCGCTACGCATGCGCAGAGGCCAGACCGGGCCAACCCCGGATTCATTCCGGCGGATCGGGTTTCCCGGGAGGCTCCGCTTCTTCCGCTTTCGCGGAGAACTCCGCAACCCCGGGCGTGGATCGAAGTTTCAGAGCTGCGGGGCGTTTATTCTTTCTGCTGCAAAGGCGTTGTCGCAGCGGGCCAGGCCCCAGCGCGCCCCCCATGGCGGGGCAGCGGGTGGAGGTCGACGGCGGGATCTTGGAAGGGGTGAGTGTGCAGCCGGAGGCCGAGCGGCTGGGCGCTGGTTGGGGACCGGGACTTTCGCGGTCGACGTTCTTACGCCTTCTCTTCGCCCCCCATCGTTCCAGGGCGGCCAGATCCTCAGGGTCTCCACCGCCCTCAGCTGTGTCCTGGGCCTCCCTTTGCGGGTGCATAAGATCCGGGCGGGCCGCAGCACGCCAGGCCTGAGGTAATCGCGGCGGCTGAGAGCTGGAGGGTGGAGTCGGGGGTCGCGGAGCCGGCTGCGAGCGCGCGCGTCGCCGACCTGGTGGTCCGGAGTGTAGCCCGGGAGGTCGCGGTCGGTCGGCCTTGGGTCCTGGGAGCGGGTTCTGAGGGGTGGCCCTTGGACCTCTCTGTCGAGACAGTGGCCAGATTGTGCGGTCTTTTATAGCCAAAATAAGGAGTCTCAAAGAAACCCTTAAAGTGATGCCTACTAGGAGGTAGTCTAAGTGCATAAAAACCAAAGAGGTAGCTCCGACGCCGAGGATGGGGCACTTATTGTGGTTAGATCTTGTTGTTTACTTGCCGTTGCAGTTTTATAAATATCATAAAATGTGGGGATATAGGCAGTCTGAATGCACACGTTTTGATGCAGTATTATGACCTGAAGGCCTCAACATTTATCTGGACTGGAAATGATTCGAGATTTGTGTGATGGGCAGCTGGAGGGGGCAGCAATTGGTTCAACTGAAGTAACCTTCACACCAGAGAAGATCAAAGGTGGAATCCACACAGCAGATACCAAGACAGCAGGGTATGTATACCTTGAGATCTGTTTAGGTATGGGTTTTGCATTCAGATCTAGGTTCTCCCACTTACTATGCAAGTTGCTTAACCTCTTTGAACTTCAGTTTTCTCCCTTTTTTTTTTTTTTGAGTTTTTCATCGGGTTAATTTTTTTTCTTTTTTAAAAATTTTTTATTTTAATTTGTTATATATGACAGCAAACTGCATTACAATTCATATTACACATATAGAGCACAATTTTTCATATCTCTGGTTGTATACAAAGTATAGTCATACCATTCGTGTCTTCATACAGGTACTTAGGGTCATGATGTCCATCTCATTCTACCATCTTTTTGCCTCCTTGCCCCCTCCCTTCCCCTTCCTCCCCTTTGCCCTATCTAGAGTTCCTGTAATCTTCCCATGTTCCCCCTCCCAACCCCAACCTCCTCAGTTTTCTTACTTCTAAAGTGTAAATAAAATACCTTTGAGGTTAAAGACAATGAATGTAAACTTTGGGCACCTAATTGAAATGTTATCTTGTATGTAGTATGATATAGCATTTTTATTATTATTATTATTTAGAAGTTGAGTGTCACAAATTGACTTGAGTTTTCACTTTCAGTATTTGTATTATAGCTCAAGTTCTTACAGTTAATTATAAACCATAGTCTACTACTTTCTTTTTCTTTTTTTTTAATTTATTTTTTAGGTGTAGATGGGCACAACACAATGCCTTTATTTTTATGTGGTGCTGAGGATGGAACCAGGATCCTGCCCGTGCTAGGCGAGCGCTCTACCGCTGAGCCACAATCCCAGCCCCATAGTCTACTACTTTCAATGTGCATATTTTTATTGCTTTGTGTGTGTTGCGGGGGGGGGGGGGGGGGGGGGGGGGGGTGTTGCTGGTCCAACTCATGGCCTTGTGCACACTTAGCTCTACCACTAAGCTATCTACCCCAGCCCTCTGTTGTCTTCTAAGATATACTTATGCAACTCTACTTAGAAATTTTTGGATATAATCCTGATTTTTTCCCCCACTGGGAAATGAATATTTAACAATTAAATTGATCTAAATGCTTCTCCTTTTATTGACAAAATGTGGATAGTAGTTAATTCCTCCCTCCATCCCCCCACTTAGTGATAGGGATTGAACCCAGGAATGCTCTGGGTTAGCACTCTAAGCTACTCTAGTCCTTTTGGTTTTAGTTTTGATACAGGGTTTTCTTAAGTTGTCCAGGCTGACCTTGAACTTGTGATCCTCCTGCTTCAGCCTTCTGAGTTGCTGGTGTGCTGCTGCACCTGGCTAGCAGTTAATTTTCATGTTACTTCTCTAATCTATTTGACTGGTCGCTTTTTTTGTGTGTGTATGTGGTGCTAAGGATTGGACCTATTGCCTCATGCATAGGCAAGTGCTCTACCACTGAGCTCCATCCCTAACCCTTTTTATCTATTAGAAGACAATAAAGCATTAGGGAGCATATCACTAAACTGTTCGGGCTTACTCAACTTCAAATCCTCCTGCCTCAGCCTCCTGAGTAGCTGGAATTACAGGCATGTGCCACCATGCCTGACTTTAGCCTTGATTGTGATTACAGGACCATGTGTTTTCTCAAGTGTCTACTTTATCTACTATTCCTTACTCTTCTCAAATTAAGGTTTTCTTTAGTGTTTTTAGAATCTGATTTTATTGGTGAGAAATTAAATATTTGTTGGATCACTCAGAGAGGATCAATGAGTTGAATAGGTATAAAACTATGATTAGTAGTTAACTAAACATTTCCAAGCCCTTTTCTTCCAATTCTAAACACTTTAGCAGTCAATAAATATTTATTTTTATTTATTTATTTATTTTTTAAATTTAATTTTATTTTTTTAATAATAAATATTTATTAATCAGTCAAACTTATTACCAGTGATAGAGACTTTCTAGTTCAGTATGTATGGGCCTTTGTTATAAGAAAGTAAAGATCTTTCTTTTGGTATGTAAAAGCTATATTGGATTGCATTTCAAACTATGATCTACTTATGAGTATTATTACTTTCTCTGTAGAAAAGGGCGATAACAGCTCATTTTGAAAATCTGACCAAATTTTTTATTTTATAAATACTTCATGTTCTATGTTCATTTATTGTGATTTCTCACATTATTTGACTATATGGACAGAACTTTTCCATGTGTAATACTCAGCTTTTAGTCTTTGTAAAATATTTTTCTTTGATCTCAAACTCTATGATGAGAGAAATTACATCGATCCCCCCCCATTTTCCAACTTTATTGAAGTGTAGTTTATAAATAAAATTATGAAGAAGGTATATATCATGATATTTTGATATATATTTATGTTGGTAAATAATTACCAGTCAAGTTAAATAACATTTTCATCACCTTTCATAATTACCTTTCATATGTGTGTATGTGGTAAGAATACTTAAAATCTGCTGTCTTACAAAATTTCAAGTAAGGCATTACATCTTAACTTAATATTTTGAACAGTGCCTTTTGCATGATAACTCAGAAACAGTTGAATATTTCTAGGTCTTGACTATTTTGAATGCATTTTCATAAATTGCTATTTTCAAGAATCCTTTTATTTAAAAAAATTGAAGATGGTTTTATTATTTTATTTATTTTTTTTGTAAAGAAAAGGGTCAGAACTTAACCAAGATCGCCCATCTAATGTAGTGATGTGTTTTAGTCTTGAATTCAGAGGTTTGCTTATCTTTTTTTTTTTTTTTTTTAAATCATGCTATATAGGAAACTAGGACCTCATTCATGCTAGGCAGGCACTGAATCAAGGTACATCCCAGCCTCATTTGCTTATCATTAGAAGCAATTCTTTGTACTGTGAAATACTTTCTTTAAGATTCAGGATTTTATAATTCAGAAACAAATCTCTGTTAACTTTACATTTAGCTTTGCTTCAACTAAGTAATGTAATAAATTATAATTCAGTTTTTTTTGAAACTTTGAAAAGATAGTGCAGTTAAGCCTGTTTTGCCTTCTCCTTAGGAGTGTGTGCCTCTTGATGCAGGTTTCAATGCCATGTGTTCTGTTTGCTGCTTCTCCATCAGAACTTCATTTGAAAGGTGGAACTAATGCTGAAATGGCACCACAAATCGACTACACAGTGATGGTAAGGGTTCTTGTTGTTAATGACATACTGAGATGATCTCATATATACTTCTGAATATCTATTCTCTATTTAAATATATTCTGAATATTTTGTGTATGTTGCTATTTATTCATGATGTCTAGTTCTGCTGTAGGAGAGAGTGGGAAATTGTTTATTTTAGACTTTGTATTATATTTTAGAATAGTATTTATAGTGAATTTTTAAAAAACCAAATGTGATTATTATATAAATTATGTCAGTTATTAGGTAAATCCACTACTTTATAAATATAGGAATTATGATTTAGAAGGGAACTCAAAAAATTTTTAAATGATAATATTTAATGCTGGCTTATACAACTCATGGGAAAGAAGAGTGGTACCGGTTGAGCATCCCTAATCAGAAAATTTAAAATATAGAATGCTCCAAACTCTAAAACTTTTTGAACACCAACCTGGTGCCAAAAGTGAAAAATTCTCCACTTGACTGCATGTGGTAGATTGCAGTCAAAACAAAAGATAGACTAAAAATGTTGTATAAAATTACTTTTGGGTTATGTATATAAGGTGTCTATGAAACAAATAAATTTTGTGTTTAGATTTGGGTCTCATCCCCAAGATATCTTATTATGTTCATGTACATGTAAAATTGAAAACAGTCTGAAACTCAAAACTCTTCTGATTGTGAGCATTTTGGAAAAGGGATATTCCAAGTTTATTGTGGCATAATTCCTTACAACTAAATTCACCCTTTTTAATGTGCAGTTTGATGATTTTGGATAACAAACATTTATCTGTAAACCAACCACCACAATAAAGATATATAATACTTCCATTACTCTAAAAATTCCCTTATCCCTGTATCAGGCAGTCCTGTCCCACAGTCCTTTGGCAACCACTTTTCTGTTTTCAGTCATAGTTTGCCTTTTTTTTTTTTTTTTTTTTTTAAGAATTTCATGTACAGGAATAATACTGTTATGTAGCCTTTGAGTCTAGTTTTTCATTCGCCTTAGTAAACTTTAGATTCACAGTGTTACTTGTATTAGCAATAAAAACTAAATAATAAGTATATGAATATGCCAGCTTGTTTATTTATCTGTTGAAGGGCATTTGAGTTGTGTCCAGTTTGGGGCAATTATTATTTTATTTTTTCTGCCGCACTGGAGATTAAACCCAGGGGTTCTGTACCACTGAGCTATACCCCCAGCCCTTTTTATTTTTTTGAGACCGGTTTCACTAAATTACCCAGGCTGACCTTGAACTTTGAATTCTCCTGCCTCAGTCTCTCGAAGCACTGGTTTTACGGGTGTGTACCACTGTACCTGGCAGTTTTGGGCATTTATGAATGAAGTTGCTGCCAACATTTATGTTTAAGTTTGGCTTAAACATAAATTTCCAGTTCTCTTTTATACTTAGAAGTAGGATTTCTGGGTTATTATAGTAAGTACATGTATAAATTTATGAGAAACTGCCAAAACTTGTGGCATCCAAAATAGTTACGCTATTTTGTTCAGCTTTTTCAATAGTCCATTATGAGAGTTCCAGCTGTTCACCATCCTACCTAGCACTTGACATTCTTAGGTTTTTATTTTTAAAAACTTTCTGCTTCTCTTTTTTTATGGTAGTGGGAATTGAACCCAAGGCCTCACATATGCTAGGCAAGCACTATACCACTGAGCTATACTCCTAGGCCTGCCCTTTTTTTTTTTTTTTTTTAACCAAAGTTTAGTAACATCTATACCTCCTGCATACTATGGAGAAAACCTAGAAAAATGAGTAAATCTCTAGAGTAGATCTTACAAGTTGCCTTAGACTTCAGGATTAAATATTGTCTTTCTCTGAAACATTGCCAACCTAATGGATAGTATAATATATTTAAAGTCAGTGTTATAGATCATATAATGAAAATTAGTTTCTCCTTAGTTAGTAATTCCACTTCAAGCAAACTATCCTAATAAAATAGTACAAAATGTAGCAAAAGGTGAATGTTAAAGGATTTGAGTAGAGAATTAATATATATCATTACATAATCATGAAAAGGTAGGAAATGGTTAAATAAGTAATGCTCAAATGCCATGCATTTCTTTAAGTTTTATTTCGCAAGAATTTTTATTGTGTCAGAAAAATGCTTACACTTATAATGTTAAATGGAAGAAATAAGAATAAAACATTTTATTTGCAGTGAGATTTCAGCTTTATAAAAGAATTGAGAGGGCAGAATAAAGTGTTGTTCACCAGTGCCCCTACTTTTTTTTTACAGTGTACAGTGTACTGAGAAGGGTCAGTAATGGTTTCTGGAGTAGAATAAACATTGGGTTCAAGTATTCTGAGTTCTGAATTTTTTTTCTCATTAGACTTGCACGGCCCTGATTTATTAAATGTTAAACTTAAATTTAGTGAATACAAGTTTTTTTTTTTTTCCACTTGAAAAATGGAACTAGTCTATATATTTTGATACTACAGTTTACTTATAACACTCAATTACTTATAACAATTACTAATTCAGTACAGAGCACTTTTCATTTAATAATTATACTTGTTGAATCAGTGAATATTGGTGGTTGCAATAACAATTGATTTTTTTCAGGTCTTCAAGCCAATTGTTGAAAAATTTGGTTTTAATTTTAATTGTGACATCAAAATGAGGTAAGTTACTTATTTCTTTGCCTTTTCCATCTATTATTATGCTAAATTAGCATAATGGAAAATTTAGACCTTGGAGAACTGTCATTCTAATACACTTAATATATTACCCTTAAAACATTTCTTGTCAAATAATTGTACTTTACAGCTTAAGAACGGTAAGCTGCAAGGGTGTGGAGCCTTGAAAGCAACTACATGTGATATTTACTTGTTTCTTGGGAGAAATATTTTCAAGGGAATTTCCACATGAAAGCATCTTCATGTCTAATGTTATCCATGCACAGATTAAATGGTCAAGTTGTGCAGACACTTGAGCCAGGCACTGTAGGATCATAAAAAGATTTTCTTCTGTAGTGTGATCAGAATTATTTTTTTAAGAAGCACATTGGGCATTTGGGTTTTTTCTTTTTTTAAATCAGTTTTAGTTGTAGATGGACACAATACCTTTATTTTATTTCTTTATTTTTATGTAGTGCTAAAGATTGAACCCAGTGCCTTACATATGCTTGGCAAGTGCTCTACTGCTGAGCCCCAGCCCCAGCCCCATTTGGGTTATTTCTTTGGTCTTCTTCTGTTATACAATGACAAGGTTAAATTTCTTGGCATCTCATTTAAGTGCATTGCAATCTTGCTCCATTTTGCCTTCCTAGCTTCATCTTTCTCCTTTTTTTCAACTTATCCTACATTCTAACACCACAATTACATGCTATTCCTTGAACATACTTTGTATCTTTGAAGTTCACATCTTTGTGTTATTCTTTTTCTGTTCTAAAAAATGGGAAATCCTATTTTTTCTAAATAAAATTTGTGATTTCCTGTATGAACTCTCTGTGGCTGTACCTCTATCAGAATCCATATTTGCACTTCTGTTGTGGTCCTGCTTACATCCTGTGTTGTATTCTAGTCAACTGTATAAGGGTACCCCTGCCCTATTAGATGGAGAACTGCTTGAGGATAGGCACAGTGTCCTTCTCAGCAGCTGAAATGGAATAAATGACTTTGAATAATTGAGTTTAGATTCTGTTAGTGTCAGCTATTTATAATCATCAGCTATTTATTTGAGTTCCTACTGTGTACCAAACATTGGGTTAGGACCTGGAAAATAGTAGAAACAAAACAACTCTAGATATCAAGGAACCTATGTTTTAAAACAAACTTGTCAAATAGAACTTTCTACATTGAGAAATGTTCCCTATCTATGCTGTCCAGTATGGTAGTCACTAACCAAATGTGACTACTGGGCACTTAAAACATGGCTAATACAATTGGGGAATTGAATTGATTTCTAAACTATGTTTAATTTTATTTGCTTCTTTGTTTTTATTAAAGCTTTTTTTTAAAGGAAGCAGCGATATGCTTCATTGCCCAGACTGTCCATGAACTCATAAGCCCAGAGGATCCTCCTGCCTCAGTCTCTTGAGTAGGAGTAGCTGGGACTGTAGGAGAATGCTGCCACACTTGGCTTGGGGCTGGCAGTTGAACTCAAAGCCTCATGCATGCACCACTGAGCTATACCTCCAGCCATAAATTTTATTTCACTGTAATAGTCACATGCAGCTTGAGGCTACTATATTGAACAGTCCAGACCTAAAATATGATTTAGAACTTTTTCATGAATTGCATATTTGGCTATCATTCACATTATTTTAATATAATATTGTGCTTTATTTTTGTCATGCAATTAGTTTATGTGGATATTTATCACACTTTTTATAGGGGCTATTATCCAAAAGGTGGTGGTGAAGTAATTGTTCGGATGTCACCAGTTACACAATTGAACCCAATAAATTTGACTGATCGTGGCTCTGTGACTAAGATATATGGAAGAGCTTTTGTTGCTGGTGTTCTGCCATTTAAAGTAAGTTGTCTAAATGTTCTTAGAAGTGTGTGCATGCCTTGGTAAGTATCATCTAAATTTTGAAATTATTAGAACTTATTTTTTAATCCATCTTTTCATTAAAAATTTTCTTCAAATTCAGTGCTCACTCTCTAGAAAATCAAGTTTTAAAATGATACATATAAAAATTAATTATTTTATGTGCCTTTAATGGCTTGGAAACAATTTTTCAAATAATCAGTAATTAATATTGTATCATTTTGGTTTTTTCTACCTTGCCAAAATAGGTAGCAAAAGATATGGCAGCAGCAGCTGTGAGATGCATCAGAAAGGAGATCAGAGATCTATATGTTAACATCCAGCCTGTTCAGGAACCCAAAGACCAAGCATTTGGCAATGGAAATGGAATAATGTGAGAAAATATACTTTCTTAGACATCGATTGAGAGCCCTGAAATAGTTACTGTGTTGGTTAGCTTTCCATTGTTATGATGAAATACCTGAGGTTAACAATTTAAAAGGAGAAAAGATTTATTTTAGTTCACGGTTTCAGAGTTTCAGTCCATGGTTGTTTGGCTTCATTGTTTTTGGGCCTGTGGTGAGGCAGAATATCAAGGCAGAGAGTGCTTGATGGACTAAAGCTTCTCACCTCATTTTCATCAAGAAGCAAAGTGACAGAGGGAAAGAGAGAGGAAGGGGCTGGGCTCCAGTATCCCCTTGAAGGGCATGCCCCCCTTAACCCAACTTCCTTCTGCTAGGCCCCACCTCCTAAAAGTTCTACCACCTCTCACTAGCATCATCAATTAGCCACCAAGCCTTCAACACATGTTCTTTGGGGGACTTCTAAGATTCAAGCCGTGAGTGACTGTTACCCTGTTTAAATTAAAGATTTCAAGTTTTTGTGCTCATTTGATAGTTTTAAGAAGACATGTTTTTAAGGGGATCTCTACCTAAAAACAACAGTATGGTGAATTAAGATGATTTTTCTGAATTTTTTCTGAGGATGTTTTGCCTTTTACTACTCTGTAAGATCCTTTTCACTTATATAATTAGCCCTCTGTATTCATGGGTTCTGCATCCATGGATTCAAATGACCAATTTAAATTTGACCAGATTAAAAAATAACTTAAAAAAAACCAAAACTGAGTACAGTGGTGCATACCTGTAATTCCAGTAGCTTGGGAGGCTGTGGCAGGAGGATCAAGAGTTCAAAGCCAGCCTCAAAAAAAGTGAGGTACTAAGTAACTCAGTGAGATCCCGTTTCTAAATAAAATACAAAATAGGGCTGGGGATGTGCCTCAGTGTGTGAGTGCAATCCCTGGTACCCACCCCACCCCCCCACCCCCCAAAAAAAAGGAAAGAAAGAAATGAAATTGTGTCTCTACTAAACATTTTTTTTTATCATTCCCTTTTTTATCATCAAACACTTTTTTCTTATCATTCCCTAAACAATACAGCTTAACAACTATTTATATATTGTGTACATTGTATTTGGTATTATAAGTAATCTAGGGATAATTTAAAGTAATAGACATGTGTAGGTTGTATTTAAATACTATGCTGTTTTATATAAAGGACTTGAACAACCTTGGATTTAATCCACAATGAGAATCCTAGAATCCATCCTCCTGAATACTTAGGAATGAACTTAAATGTTAAAGGTAATCAGAAGTTAGGCTTTGAAGGTGATCCTAAGAGAAATGTTTTTAGTTGCTTAAAATACCTCAACTCTGAAATTAACTCACAATGGTAAAGATCGCCTTAATAAAGGAATATGATTATTAGTGTTACTCCAATTAGAAGTTATGGTTTTATGTGTTATAAAAATGCTTTGATATTTTTGGATTGTAAAAGTACGGTTATTTTTTGTAGATACTTATATTTCAAATTCTCTTATTCAGAGTTTCTGTTAAAGGGTTTAAACTAAATGCTTACTTTAATAATGTAATGCTATCTAAAAACTATAGAATAAAACCTAAAGTCCTTACACAAAGACATTTTTTATTAAAAGAAAATTATAAAATACTGTATAGTACTGTGTGAAATGGTACCACTTTGCACCAAAAATATGATAACTTCCAGGGATACGGAGAGGTGGTGGCTTCCTTTATCTATGAGTGAACTAGAATTAGATGTGACTTCTCCCATTCTAGCCCTGAAGGATATTATTGGCTGATGGAGAATGTTAATCAGACTACTCTGTGTAGGAAGAATTTCGCCATTGCAGCGTACTGGCCATGTGTCATTTTGTCTATTTAACACTGTTTTCCTGTGTCTTATTTACTATAATTTTAGAATGTTTGTAGCCTAAGAGTAATACTTGTTTTTTCCCTATATGTAGAATTATTGCTGAGACATCCACAGGCTGTTTGTTTGCTGGATCATCGCTTGGGAAACGAGGTATAGTTAAATGAAAGTGGGTCCATAGTTCCTACTGCTACTAAAAATTAATTATCTCTCAGGATTGAAATGTTATAGGGAATGATGGATGACAGGTTTAAAAGGCTACTGTTAACTAATTCTTTTTTTTTTTAATTTTAGTTGTAGATGGACACAATACCTTTATTTATTTTTATTTTTTATGTGGTGCTAAGGATCGAACCCAGTGCCTCAAACATGCGAGGCAAGCACTTTGCCACTGAGCTGCAACCCCAACCCAGTTAACTAATTCCTAGAGTCAATTAAACTTTAAGTCTTTCTCCTATTTTTATACTTTGAAAATTTTTAGACCTATAAGAAAAGTTGAGTGACTAATTCAACTAGTCATCTACACAACCTCTCCTAGATTCATTAGTTGTGAACATTTGGTTGTGTGGTATGTATGCTTCTGAACTGCTTCAATGTAAGTTATAGACACCATGCCTTACTCCTGAATACTGCAGCATATAGATTCAAAAACAATATCAATATAATCACAGTATTGTTTACTTTTTAAACATTTATTTTTTAGTTATAGGCGGACACATATCTTTATTTTATTTTTATGTGGTGCTGAGGATCAAACCCATACCATAACCCCAACCCCCGCAGTATTGTTTTTATACCTGAAGAATTTGTCTGTGATATGCAGACACACCAGATGTGTTGTCTCCAAAATATTCTTTAGAGCAATGTGATATATTTTTGAAGTACAAAATACTTTCTCTCTCTTTTTTTTTTTTTCTGTTCATGATACTAACATTTTTTAAAAGTCTAGGCCATTTTCTTTCTTTTAGGCCATTTTCTCACAGAATTTCCCACAATTAGGATTTTTCTGATTATCTCATGATTAGATTATTCATACCAAATATTTTTAGTAACAATATTGCATCAGTGATTTTGTGTCTATACCACTACATTGCATCAAAGGGCATGTAAAGTCATTTTGCCCTTTATTGGTAAGGCTGAATGTGATCACATGGTTGAGGAGGAGTCCTCCAGATCTGCTTGCTATAAAGGTTCCTTTTCCTTTTACAATCATTAAGTAGTCTGGGATAATACTTAGAGACTATCTGATATTCTGTTTTCATACAACTTTCATCCAGTGGTCTTAATATCTATTGATGTTTCTTCCTTTATCAGTTATTACACTGATGATTAGAAAGTACTGAATATTTGGAGGAAAAATAAATCTGTTTTTAAGATTGGCATATTAAGAAGAGGAGATGCATACATTTGTTTGTTTGTTACCCAGGGGCACTTTACCACTTAGCTACATTTCCAACTATTTTATTTTGAGACAGGGTCTTGCTAAGTTGCTAAGGCTGGCCTTGAACCTGTGATCCTCCTGCTTCATCCTCCTGAGTCACTGGGATTACAGGTGTGCATCACTGCATCTAGTGGTTAACATTTAAAGTTTTGCTAGTCAGGCAACTTCTAGTTATTTATGGTAATTAATTGCTTCATCCTACTTTGTAGTATCTTTTTTTTTTTAATATTTATTTTTTAGTTGTATTTGGACACAATACCTTTATTTTATTTATTTATATGTGGTGCTGAGGATCACACCCAGGGCCTTGCATGTGCTAGGTAAGCACTTTACCGCTGAGCCACAACCCCAGCCCTACTTTGTAGCATCTTTTAAAAATGCTTATGCTAGCCAAGCATGGTAGCATCTACCTGTTGTCCCAGATACTCAGGAGACTGAGGCAGGGGGATTACAGAGTTCAAGGACAGCCTGGGAAATTTAGTGAGATCCTGTCTCAAAACCAAAACAAAAATGCTTCCACTAGCTGTGCTGTTTAACCTCATTATGAACTATAGAATACAAAATAAATTCAGATGATTTTAGCTTGCTAGATGATTCGATCTATACACTATAGATCATATAATCAACATAATAGAAGAAGTAAAATCAACATCTCTCTGGGTATGATGTGCAGGCCTATAGTTACTCAGGTTCCTGAGCGAGGCAGGAAGATTCTTAAAGCCTACAAGTTCAAGACCAGCCTAACATGGTGGGACCCCCATCACTAAAAACAAAGGGAAAAAAATCAAAATCTCCAATCAACTCACATAATGAGTTCTGTCTAAATCTCTGCTGTTCACAGTGTGGATGGGAGACAACAGGAAATCACTATCATCTGGGAGTTTTGTTAGAAATACAGATATGGGGCCTAACCCAGACCTATTTGAATCTGTGGAGGGTGGAGGTATCGCTCAGTGGTAAAGTCCTTGCCTAGCATGTGTGAGGCTCTGGGTTTGATTCCCTGAAAGTGAGACCTAAGAATTTGTTTTAACAAGTTCTCCAGGTACTTCTAAAGTATCTTGAAGTTTGGGGAGTATTGATCTAAAATATATACTAGTATATATTTACTACCTATTAGGCACAGTGAGGAATCAGTGTGGATACTTAGCCACTGCATGCAATATCTACAAGTCTTGAGAAGCAAAAATAATGCAAATATAAAGCACAGAGCAGGAGCAGACATATTATAGATAATAAGTATTTGATGGACATTGGCAAATCTGTGAGTTCTATTAGTTTTATTATTGGGTACCACAAATGTGCCAAGTACTATGTACTAATTATTTACAAGTGAGAGCTACTATGCCTAACTGCTGACCTAGTCTGGTGGAGAAGACAGACCGGTGCTGATAGTGTTATCCCAGGGTACCATAGAGATAAATGCAAAGAAAGAAAAACTAATACTTCTTTGGAGGATGAGTAACTCCAATTCTGCCTTTTGCTATTCATTGATCTTTCCTCAGGGGGATAAATAGAAGCCAGGAAGAAAAGTGAGAGCTAAGGTGAATTGGTGCAGCCATCATGGAAAATAGTACAGACATTCCTAAACAAACTAAAAAGACAATTGCCATGTAACCCCGCAGTCCCTTTTTTGAGTATATACCCAAAAGAAATTAAATTGCCTCAAAGATTTATCTGTATTCCCATGTTCATTGAAGCATTTTTCATAATAGCCAGAATATGAAAACAACCAAATGTACTTCCATGGATGAATGAATAAAGAAACTGTGGTATATATACACATCAAAATATTATTCAGTTAAATCACAGCAGATGGGATAGAGAGAGAAGATGGGAGGGGAAGGGAGGGGGGATAGTAGAGGATAGCAAAGGTAGCAGAATACAACAGTTACTAATATGGCATTATGTAAAAATGTGGATGTGTAACCGATGTGATTCTGCAATCTGTATACGGGGTAAAAATGGGAGTTCATAACCCACTTGAATCTAAAGTATGAAATATGATATGTCAAGAGCTTTGTAATGTTTTGAACAACCAATAAAAAAAATATTATTCAGCCTTAAAATAGGATGGACATGGAGCAAAGTGAAATAAGCTAGATACAGAAAGAAAAATGTTGTATGATCTCACTTATATGTGGAATCTAAAAAAAAAAAGATCAAATATAAAGAGAGAAAGTAAGAGTGGTTTACTAGGATGAGATAAGGGGGAGGAAATGGGGAGCTGTAGGTCAAAGGATCTACATAATAGATCTGAAGAATGAACAAGTCCAAAAATATGGTATACAACATGAGAACTATAGGTAATTATAGTGTATGGTAGTCAGGATTTTTGTTAAAGGAATAAATTATAGTTGCTCTTGTTTTAGGTGGGAGAATGGGTAACCAAGAGATGATATATTGGTATGTTTCATTAAAGTAACCATTTTACTGTAAATGTATCTCAAAATATATATTTTTTAGTTGTAGATGGACACAATAGCTTTATTTTGTTTATTTATTTTTATGTGGTGCTGAGGATTATACCCAGTGCCTCATAAGTAAGAGCAAGCACTCTACCACTGATCCACAACCCCAGCCCCTAAATATATATATTTTTTTAAATATTTATTTTTTAGGTATAGATGGACACAATACCTTTTTTATTTTTATTTGGTGCTGAGGATAGAACCCGGGTTTCGCCCGTGCTAGTGGAGCACTCTACCGCTGAACCACAATTTTTTAAAGTAAGCTAAGGAGCAGGGACATGTTCTGTCAATATTTTTTGACAGAAAAAGATGTTTTTCTGTGCTTAAGTAACTGCAGTATATATGATAAGTGCAGGGTCTGGGTAGGGGGATGGAGGATGATGAGAATAGAGAGGTCAATAAGGGCCAGATTTTTTTTTTTTTTTTGCACTGGGGATTGAACCCAGAGGTGCTTTACCCAGCCCCCCTTTTTTTTTGGGGGGGGGGGCGGTTCTTGGGATTGAACTCAGGGGCACTTAACCACTGAGCCACATCCCCAGCCCTTTTTTTGGATTTTTTATTTAGAGACAGGTTCCTCACTGAGTTACTTAGGGCCTCAATAAATTGCTTAGGATGGCTTTGAACTGAGATTCTTCTGGCTCAGGAGGCTGAGCCGCTGGGATTACAGGCGAGCCACCATGCCTGGCTTACCTGTCCCTTTTTATTTTTTGAGACAGTGTCTCATAAGTTGCTTGGGGTCTCACTAAGTTGCTGAGGCTAGCTTTGAACTTGTGATACTCATGCCTTAACCTCCTGGGTCACTGAGATTTCAGGCGTGCATCACCGTGCCAAGCTAAAGGCCATATTTTGAAGAGCTATAGGCTACATAAAGGAAATTCAAGTGTCATACTGAAAATATAAGGATTTTAAGGATGGATATGTAAGAGTCTGTTATAACTCAGATCAGACATGGTGAGGTTTTGCAACAAGGAATGCAGTGACTGGTGCCAAAGACATTGAGTACTGATAATCAGGGTATTTAAAAAGGTAAACAGTTTGTTGACCAGTTGGATATTGGAGGTATGGGAGGCATTGTGAAGAAAACATTCCAGGTGTCTTAACTTAGGTAACTGGGTGCATTTAAGTGTGTGAATATAGGAAGTAGAGTTAGTTTGTCATCATAGACAATAATTTTAGATATGTTGAATTGAGATTGTAAAGGGACCATAACCGTAATTTTAACGCATGCAGTGTGTTAACCAGCC